ACACATAAGCCCTACTGTTTAGGTCTCATGAGGATCTATTACTTGTAGTTTTACATGAAGTCCTTCCTATTATATAGTTTTTGGGTATCATTGAGAATAAAGGCTAGGTAACAATATTGGAATATCTTACTGAAGTCCAGTGTACTACAGTAAAAAAGGCATTGTGAACTGGAATTTAGTAGATCTGATACAATAACTAAATTCAGCTGTTTGATTCACTTGCTCTGTGACTTTGGGGAAATCTCTTCCTCTTGGTCTCAATTGGTAAAAATTAGTGGGTTGGATTAGATCTCTTAGGTAGTACTAAGATAGTTTGATTTTATTATCTTGAATGCTTTTTCATGTAGAAATAATTTTAAGGAAAACGAAAAACATCTTAAGGGTTGATGAAGGAACAATTTCCTTATTATCTCTTCATTCAGACTTTTGGGGGTCAAAGTGGCCAATTGAATGTACATTTCCTGCTAACACAGGCTATTAGAGGTGATATTCATCAAAATTAGGTAGTGTCAGGAGCAGAGGAACATGACTTCCCTGCCCAGAAAGGGAATTCCAACAACAGCCCTACCTTTGGATGCAACAGCAGTAACATTTGGGAGAGAAGTACTAGAATCTTTATGGCTACGGAAGTAAAGGCTTCAACAAGAGATCAGATGGAATATCTCAGGATCAGGAATGTAACTGTAAACATCACTTCCAAAGAGCAAGGAGAAACAGAAACTATAAGCCAATCTGACCAGAAAATGGAGAGAATAAATCAAATTAAAAAGGACATGGGCAAAACCAGAACTGAGAAGCTAAAGTTATTCCTGAAGAAGCCAGTTGAAAATATGTTACAGGGGAGGCACATTGTTGAACAATAAACAGTCTTGCTTGGTGACCCACACCTAACCTGACATCTGGAGGAAATCACTATGTGGGCAGCAGGAGAGCTCTGACAGACTATACGTGAACATGATTTTCATTTAATGTTGCATAATTACCAATTTGGTGCCCCAGGCAACTCTCTACAAGCACAGATGAATTGTTGATTTGCACTGGCACGAGGACTTTCAACATGAAGGAATTCTCACTTGGATGAAATCGCAGGTCAAGAGCAATAAAAGAAAATGATGGCATTATGCAGTGCTCATGACCCTTCGGAGATGATTTTAACCTAATGTACTGATTGGTTTTTAAAAGAAGCCAGTCTTTAATAATATGCCCCTTGTTTCTCTCTTACTTGGCTGTACTACCTTATAACTTCCCTCCAGCATTTCTCCACCATGCCCAGGAATCTCATTATTGATATAACCTCATTATTCTGTAAAGTCTTATCTACATTGATACTCTACCTCATTACTGCCTTTTTGTTTGTCTGACTGGAAAGTGGGGCCATGAATTCCAAACTTCCATTTTCCCAGTCCTTTCTCACCCCTCACCCCACTCCCACCTTCCTGCTGACATTACTTTCAATTCACCCATGTTATTTCCCCTGTTAGAATGTGAGCTTCTTGTGGGCAGAGATTGTTTTTGCCATTATGTAACAGTTCCCAGTATATAATAAATTCTCAATCATATCAAATCTCCATCGATCTTCAATTGCCTATTCACACTCAGTCTACATAACCAGAGAGCACAGTTCAGACAGCTCCTCATTTCTCACCTGGCTGCATTACTTTGGAACTTCTCTCCACCATGCCTCCAAAACTGGTACCTTCTTCATACCACCATCTTTTCAGCTTCTTTTCATTTTATCTTCCCTTTATCTAATAAGGGAAGCTCCTTGAGGGCAGGGTTTATCTTTTTTTGTATTTGTATCCCTAGTACTTAGCACAGTGTTTGGCACAATAATAAGGTGCTTAATAAATGTTTCTTGACTTAGTTCATGGTGTTTTTTCTCATGCAGCATCTTGAAAGACTAACTTGGAGAGAAAATAAGTTTGTTTTAATTTTAAAGGTAGTAGCTTCACTATGATTGTCCTGAACTTAAATAAAGTATCTGAGTTTTGATAATGTTTCCCACTTTTTCTGTATTCAAAGTATCAATTTGTACATGATCACAACTTTTGTGCATAGCTGTGTAACAAATATTGTTTCTAAATGCACCATCATGGCAAAATGCTCCTGTCAGGAAATAAGTACATTCATTTTTTACCACCCAGAACAAAGTATGTTGGGGCCTCTTTTTTTTGTGGATATATCTGAGGGTAATAGTGAACAGTGGGCAGGAAAAAAAAATACCCATATCACAACTGACAGAATTTGAGAGCATATGCCCTTTGGAGATTCCTGCCCTGTGCCTTTACCCCTGCCAAGGACTTTCAGGTTCTGTGGTACTCTCTGCCCTCTAGAAGGGCCCAGGGAACAAGAGATACATGCTGTTTTGCATTGTAATCTCGGCTCACTTGGATCCAGTTATCTCTGTGAAGATGATTCTCCTATCCGTTTTTCTACTTCTAATCTCTCCCCTGATCTCTAGTCTGGAACTTCTAACTGCATATGGGACATTCATAGGCATCTCAAGCTCAAAATATCCCAAACTGAACTCATTATCTTTACTCCCAGTCTTTCCCTGCTCTAAACTTTCCTCTTATTATTAAGAACACTACCATCTTCTCAGTCACCCGGGCTTCTAATATGGGTGTCATCTGCAATTGCCTATTCACACTCAGTCTACATAACCATTCTGTTGCCAAAGCCTGTTTCTACCGCCTCATCATCTCATATCTTTCCCCCTCTTCCCTGTCACATAGCTGCTGCCCTAGTGAAGGCTTTCATCACCTCATGCTCGACTATTGCAATAGCATTTTGATTGGTCTCCCTAATTCAAGTTCCCTACTCCTCTGATCTCTTCTACTCAGCTACCAAAGTGATCTCCCGCAAAACACAAGTGCGATATCACTCCTCTGCTCAGTAAACTCCAGTCACTCCCTACATAGAGGAGAGTAAAGTATCTCTAGGATCATAAAGAATGACATATAAATTATAATATAAAACTATATATAATTCTCTGATTTTTAAATTCTTGACAACATTGTCCCTTTCCACCTTTCCAGTCTTCTCATACTTTACTGTCCTTTATAATCCAGTGACACTGGCCTTCTTACTGTTCCTTCCTTATCCCTTTATGTAAATTTGCATTATGCAAATCTGACTCCTTGACGGTGGATAGCAGTGCTAGTGCAGCCCCAGGCCAGCGGTCTATCTGTGGGAGCCCCAGGCATTGAAGCAGAGCTGTGAAGGGAGCATCCCCATGGAGCCCAGAGAGGGGAGGGGGAGGTCTGTGGAATAGTCCAGTTACGTTAAGGGAGAACTGACTGTATATGACACTCCATCTCCTTAATCTGTGCCTTTTCACTAGCTAGCTTACATTTCCTGGAATGCTTTTTCTTCTCTGTCTCTTTGCTTTCTCAGCTTCCTTCAAAACTGAGCTCAAATCTGACCCTGCAAGAAACTTTTCCCAGTCCTTTCCTCAACCCCCACCCCACTCCCACCTTCCTGCTGACATTACTTCCAATTCACCCATGTTATTTCCCCAGTTAGAATGTGAGCTTCTTGTGGGCAGAGATTGTTTTTGCCGTTATATAACACAATTCCCAGTATATAATAAGCACTTAATCCTTTTTCATTGACTGGTTGATTTGCTTTGTCAGTATGTTGTGGACACGAACCTGCATTTCTGAAAGGTTTTCCCATCTGAGCACAAGCTTTTGGCAGATCCCACAAAGCTAAGAGGGTTTCAAGCAGAGGACTAATGATAGCCTGTCATCAAAGGATCCATTTCACTGTATAGAAGGTTGCTGGCTAGAAAATTTACCCATAAGTTGACTTTTTTGCAACTATAACAACTCATGCTTGTCTGTTAAGCTTTACAAATTTACGTTGGTAGAGGGAGTACCTACATTGATGAAATCACATATTCTTGAAGGGTCAAAACATGTATCATTGTATTCTATGAAATTTTTCATATTTTTAAAATCACTTTTATATTGTTTTATTTTCACTTGTCTTGCCTCTATTGTCATTCCTCTTGACTACTAAAGAAACTGACTTGCATCGGTTGTGACTTCTGTGATTGAAGTCACAAGTCAATATAGAAAACTTGGGTCTAGAATTGAGATCTTCTGCTTTGTAGTCCATTGTTTTTAGAAGGATCAACTATTGTTTTTTTTTGTTTGTTTTAAAATACCAATTTTGTTTATGTTTTATATGAGAGTGACACATTCAGTATTGGTGTTGAATTGAATAAGTTGACATTGCCTATAGTATAGCCCAAAGTTTTAGGTTAAGAAGTCACCTTCTGAATAACTTCCTATCCATAAGGAAAGACATGCTAGAAATGAAGATGGTATAGTTGCTATCTCTATCAGAAGGGCAATAAAGTACTGTTCCTGTTTCAGAAAGGAAGTAAAGAACTGTTGGGCGGCTCAGTGGTGCAGTGGATAGAGCTCAGCCTGAAGTCCAGAAGGCTCATCTTCCTGAGTTCAAATCTGGCCTTGGACACTTATTAGCTGTGTGATCTGGGCTTGTCATTTAACCCTGTTTGCTTAAGTTTCCTCATCTGTAAAATGAACTGGAGAAGGAAATGACAAACCCCTGCAGTATCTTTGCCAAACATACCCTAAATGGGCATGAGGAGTCAGACACGACTGAAATGACTAAACAACAACAACAACAACAACAAAAGTATGATTATGCCCTAGAAATCATTTGGAATTGGATAGTCTCACTTAAGTGGTGGTTTTGAAGTAGAAATTTTGGGAATTTGCAATTTGATGGTTCTTATTTTGTGTTTGATTTAACCTTTTACATTCTCCCTCCACCTCTCCCTCCAATTTTAAAAACTTTAAACAGTGCATTCTGGTTCCTTACTTTATTGAGATGTTAAATAAGCTTGTCCATTGTTAAGAATGCCATAAAATGCTTTAAGTGAATTTTTAATAAAATGTTAAGACAGCATTGCCAAAAAATAAGATCCATTATATTAATTATACTTTTCTGATTTTGTTTTGTTTTAGTAATTGATCGAAATCTTCAGAAAATTGAAAGACCTTGTGTTTTTCAATCAAAGTCTTGAAGCCTCCCTGGCCAACAAAGAACATTAAACACAGCTGTTTAGGCAGCTGCTTCTATGCCAGGACCGGAACATGCCGAAGATTGCATACCAACGTTATCATTGAATGAAGGCCTGGAACTCAACACACAATTATTTTTAGAAATGCAGATCAAAAAAATGAAGGAAATAATACCACAATTATATACAAATCAGGTGAATGACAGAAATAATTCTTTGACTACATCCCCAAAACAACTCAGCGGTGAATATGTGAATCAGCCCAGTGGAAATGAAACTCAGCCCCATGGTTATCAAGACACCAAGGCAGAGGATGACAAGACATCTATGGTTACTTGTGTGAGGTGTAGAAGTGTTCAAAAAATCCCACTCCAGGAGCTGAAAAAGGATAACCAACATAGTCAAAATGAGGACCAGATGTGCTTTGTTTGTGTCAAATGCAACTTAGGTATATCTCCTCCTTTCCCTTGTATGAATGATATACCAAGTGCTGTTGATTCAGGAAATAAAGATAACACTATTTCAAGGACTATTACTAACCAATTTAAAGTAAAAAACTTTCAGCCAGGCAAATATTACTGTGATAAATGCCGTTTTTCTACCAAGGACCCTCTGCAGTATAAAAAGCACACACTCCAGCATGAAGAGATTAAATTCTTTTGTTCACACTGCAACTATGTCTCATACACAAAAGGAGAATTCCAGAGGCATTTGGTGAAACACACAGGGACATTTCCGTATCAGTGCGAGTATTGTGACTATGGTGCCGTCAGAAACGATTACATAGTTAAACACACAAAACGAGTTCACGAGACGAGTGGTGAGAAACGACCTCTTAAACAGGCTGTGGAACACCAGTCAAAGAGAACCAATTTTTCAAAACAGAACTCTGAGGTTCTTGTAAATGAAGTTTCTAAGTCAAATTCTTTTCCGAATGAGCCATCAGATTTATCTTTATGTTTCTTTGGCCATGGAGATCAGGACAAAGCAGGCAATACTATTTCCTTGCCTGAGTCTAAGGAATGCAGCAGGGATGAAGCAGCCTCAGCTCCTGATAAAGCCTGCCTTCCTGAACCAAGCAAAGTTAACCTTTTTGAGAATGAAAATGTGCAAGTTGAGTTGTTATCACCAGCAAAAGAACCTGTGCAGCCAGGCATGCCACTCACTGTAGTTGCACCAGCAGAACTTAAAGTCCCTGATAACTGTTTAGCCCAGTTGATAGATGTTAAGGTAGTCAATGGGACACAGCAACTTGTTTTAAAACTAATTCCATTGAAAGAAAAAAATGGCCTTAAACCTGGCGGCTCTGATGAAGGTAAGTATGAGTTCATGAGCAAATCCGCAGTGCCAAATGAGCAAGAAAAACCAGTGCCTATTGAACAAACCCCACCAGCAGTAGAAAGGAGTCCTGAGAAGCCACTGGCCGTTGGTAATCTGCACTCCACAGATTACACCCATGTGAAGGATCTAGATTGCAGAAAGTCTTCTGTTTCTCCAGTGTTAAAGAATACATCAGAGACTAATCAAAGCCGATGTGAGTCCTGTCCAAATAGTGACAGAATTGGGGATTGGAGGCAAGAAGTGCTTTCAGTTCCATATAGAACAGCCCTTTCTCCTCTTTCCTCAAGAGATGGTGATATTAAACAAAATAATTATTTTTCTTCATTATGTGTGGTGAATAATGGTGCTTTATGCAGTCCTATGAAAAGATCAGGTGTTTTGCCACATGTGTCTGCCCTCTCCCCCCATCAAGACAGATTTCAGAATCATTTAGAGAAATCACCTTCAGACTGCAAACCTCCTGAAGCTATTGGGGCTTTTGCAGAAAGAGGCATGTTGCCAGTGAGCCCAGGGGCCTCTCTGCATAGGAATGAAGTTGGTACTTTTAAAATGGTTCCTTTCAGTGAGAAACTGAAACAAGCACAAGTAAAAGAACCTTCAGATGATCCAAATCCAATGCAAGATTCCTCTTTACATAGTGAACAATCACACATCAGCTTAATTAGAGAAAATGATATTAAGACTCAAGATCCTGAGGAGGTGATATTGGAAGATCTTGCTGGAGTAACTATTCAGAATTCAGGAAGTATTTCTTCAGATGGCCCTATCATTTCATCAGTGTTTTCTCTTAGCTCTGGGACTGAAAATATCCCTGAAGGGATTAAATGGGACAATATAAATTGTGGGACAAAGCCAGTTAATTTATCGCATAAAAGAATTGCCCAGTTGATTGCTGCTACTGAATCTTCACATTCATTGTTTCCTTTAAGCACTGTGGAACAGCAGTCCTCACCCTTGGAAACTCCCATAGACTGTGTTCTAGGACATAATGCACCAAGTCATGATTCAGCACCACCCCAGGGATTACAGAATGATGCTGCTGATATTGAACAACTTACTCTTGAGCACATGCAACACCAGGACAGTGAGAAGGAACAAACAAAAGCTAGGGAAACCAGAAAGGATCCTGTCACTGTTCCTGGGTTCATTCCAAAAGGGACTGTGTTAAAAGCATGCAATTCCAGTGAGAATGAACATTTAGTAGAGAATAAATTGCCTTGTGATGTCTTTGGCAATGAAAGGCTGTTACCAAAATCTGTTGCCTTCAATTCTCTTGAAGAGGTGGGCGAAGACTTTTCTTTGACAAATGAAAGTCAGTCAACAGGCAGTTCCAGAAATCTTGGTATATCGTTGGAGAATAAGCCAAATCAAGGAGTCACTACCAGTACTGTCTCTAACAAATCAAATTCTGCGTGTTCACAACCAACAGAAGGCAATGACCAGGGTAAAGAGGGAAAATTGATTTTCGGAGGTCCCTCAGGGTCCAAAATTAAGACAAAACAGGCAGTTATCTCCAAGAAAAAATCAAAAATTCAATCTGACTCCAGTCACTTGCTTCCAGATGTTTGTATTTTTATGACATCAAGACATCTCAGACTTATGCCTGTCAGAACAGAACAGTTGATTAAATGCCCCCGCCGGAACCAACCTGTTGTTGTGTTAAACCATCCAGATGTTGACTCAATAGAAGTGATTAATGTGATGAAGGTTGTCAACAAGTATAAAGGCAATGTCCTCAAAGTGGTTTTATCAGAACGAACATGTGACCAACTAGGTATAAAGCGGCATCACAGACGACTTATCTATCGGAACATGGAGGCAGTGTTCCCAGTGAAAAAGCAGACTATGCTGAAAATGAAACTTAAAAAGATCCACAAGAACAGCTACCAGGTAGTGGATTCCTTACCAGGTGAATCAGTACAGGGTATGTTTAAATGTTGGTTTTGTGGAAGGATATATGAAGACCAGGAAGAGTGGATGAGTCATGGGCAGCGACATTTGATAGAAGCAACCAGAGATTGGGAGCAGCTTTCTCCTCCTATGGGGATCCCCAAATGAATAGATGGGATTAAAAAAAATGTGGCTTTTCATATATTAGGTAGAGTTTTTTTTTTCATTTTTGAGGGCAGGGGGATGGGAAAGGAAAGCAGTCAGAATAAGGGAAGAAAAATACAGATAATGTGTAGGAATAAAAAGAGTTTAGTAGCACTTCAGAAAATGAAATATCCAGAGTATTCTAAACAGGTCAAAGTCTTTTATACTCTGCATCCTTTTATGGAGGAGTTACAGAGACATTTTATGGAGATGTTAATAGTGTTCTCTGTTTGCTTAATAGGAAGTAAATTGCCACAGAAGTAGTAGACTGAATTGTCCTTGACAACTTAGTCTTGTTTTTAATTCTTTGGTTTTTACCAAAGAAGAATTGGTGAGCAGCAAGGGCATGCCATATAGTGAACCATGAACCACCACTATCCCACCTTCTTCTCCTGCCCCTAACAAAACATTGGTTCCTAATCTGAGTGTAAAGACACTTAACATTATACACACACACACACACCTCTCATGAATATATGGTACTAGTTTTACAATAGTATCTAGTGAGAAAGAACATAAGAATTCTCATTTGCATTCATGGGACCTTACAATAACTTCATCTGCTACTTCTTTTTCTTGTGCTTACCTTGCTCCAGCCAGGGCCTCTGACATTCTCAGCCCTTGTGTTGGAAACCACTGCCCTAAGTATGATGAAATGCTAGAAACTTTGCACATTTTCCCAGTCTTATTTTTAAAGAAGACTAAAGTTGATGGCCCTGATATGACATTGTAAAATGAGAAGAATGGATTAGATGCCTAGTGGTGTGGTGGAAAAGATGCACTAGATTTGGAGTCAGAGGACCTGGCTTCGAATGCTTGCTCTGCTACTTGTGTGACTTTGGCCAACTCACTCTTCTGTGGGCCCCAGTTTTCTCAGAAATAAAATGAGTTGGTTAGATTAGATATCTTTAGGACTCTTCCATTTCTAAGTCCTGTCATTGGATTCTAGATTATTGCCTAGGTCATGTGAGTGGAATGAACCTTAGACAACATCTGAATTCACTGTTATTTAATTAGGACTAGAGGGAAGTGAGCTTTTTTTTTTCTTTTTTTCTAAGTGCCTGATTTTTCCTCCTTTTTTAGTGCCTGGTGCCTATTGTGGTGGTTAACAGTGTGGGGCAAATTATCTCAAGGGGCAAAAAGCCCTTGTCAAAAAGGGGCAGTTGGGAGTGGGAGTGGGTATATGGATGGGAGGAAAGGACAGGACAGTAAGGAGTAACCTTTTTGAATTAATCTTAAAATATTTTCCTGGACTATACACAGGCAGATAAAATCTATTCTTCTTCACCTTAAATTTTCAAAGAAAGTCATGGATCATATTTTTTATTTCAGAACATGGTGGCAAGGAGATATTTTGCATTTAGAATTGCCCACTGTTGCAAATACCATTTCGTACAGAATCATGAGAGCAATTTTCGTTAAAACAACTTTAGTTAATTGAGTTTTGCTGGCAAAATGCTTTTTTTATCCTCTGTACATATATGTGTGCATATCTGCAGCTGAACACATAAATATTTTTAGAGAACTGTTTGAAAATGTCAGCAGTACCTATTTTCACTGACCCATTTTATAAAGAATTACTATAGTCTGGAAAAAATTTAAGTACTTTTTTTATACTCAAGAAATGACACCTTTATTTTGGGAGAACATTTTTTATAAGTATTGATCTCAACTTGTAGAAAATAAAAGCACAATTTGGTGATTTGGATCTGATTTATAAGAACAAAAGCAGGAATCTATGTCAATATATAATTTTATTTCATCAATACAGTATTAAAAATATGGACATTTCAGATGGTGCTTTTAGGAACTGGGTCTTATATATATTAACTAAGTCAAAAAAACAAAAAAAATGTACCATGTGAATTTACATCCTTCTAATATGCAAGGGGAGGTGTCTTGAGGTGTGATGAGAGAGCAAACAAAGTTGTAGGCTCTTAAGTTGGCTTGTGAAGAGCTAGACTTATGGAAGAGTAAGATTGGGGAGAAGTAGAAATAATAAAAATGAGTTCAAAGTATTGAGAGCCTTCCAGGAATCACATTGGAATGTTCAGTTGCATTATACAATACAAATATTTCTTAATATGTTTTTCCTGTATTACATCAAAAGATAGCTTCACCTAATTTATATGAAAATGAGTTTTGTAGGGTACAGGTACTTGTTTCCATAGTCGAGGGAAACAGTTGGCTCAAAACTAAAATATTTCTATTATTAGATCTCCCTGAAGTGTAATGGACTGCCTTGGGAGGTAGTGAGTTCTTTGAGGTCTTCATGTAGAAGCTTGGATGACCACTTGTCAAAGATATTATAAGGGCATCCGTATTAGGTACAGCCTCTGAAGTCCTTTCCAATTCTTTAGATTCTGTGATTCTGTAACTCTTGTAGTTTTCCTAACACAGAAAAATCTGAAAGAACTGTTGAAAATCATTTAGGCTCATTGTTTCCTTACAAAAGCTTTCTTATTTCCTTGAAGCAATCTCCCAAGACTTATTTGAATATAAATATGTTCACTTCAAGAACTTATATTAATGAAAATCACAACAAAAAATGTTAACATAGTTTTTTCTTTCTTTTAGTACTCGAAGGGCCTACTTAACCACAGTTTATAAGGAGTACTCAGCATGAATTCAATACAACCTTTTTTTTCTTGAAATGGGACCAGAAAATTGGATGATCTTCCTATATTCGGGATTAAGGTGTAGAGCAGTCCCATGGTGCCCCGTAAACTAGTTAATGTTTAAATTCATCTTCCTCAGAGACACTACAATTTACAAGTGGCAGAGTATTAACCCTACAAAACTTAACCTCTCCCTTTTCCAGGATAACTTTTGGATTACATCTTACAGAAAGTGAGGTTATGTTGTTCAAACTTTGTCATCCTTTTGGAATTTGTTTTCTCCCTGTATGCATTTATAAAGTATAATGTTTAGAATATTTGAAGGATTGTTTTAAGTCCTGTATTAATGTTTTCTGTGGTTACTGTTCTAATTTTGAAACAAACATTTGTACATAGTAATAGAAGTGTTTACATTGTAAAGTTTGTTAAATAAAACACTTGCAATGGTTTTGCCACCTGATTTTTTGTTTAAAAGTAAACATTTGAAAATTTGGGTTGTAAGTTACAGTCTTGGCTTTAATGAGGCAATTTGAGGCATTAGAAAGCATTGAATTTGGAGGAATATGACCTGGAATCTAAGTCCTGGCTTTGCTATTTACTTACCTGTGTGGTGATGAGCAAGTCACATCACCTCTTTGGGCCTCAATAAAATGAAGTGAGACTGGATTTTCTCTTAACTTCCCTTCCAGCTATAATTCCTAGGATGTTATGTAAAGTCATGATTTCCCTGTCCTAGAGTAAGTTAAGACTTCTATAGCAGTTTAGATTTTACGTCTTACATCACAGTCTTTGAGGCATCATTCTCATGATGATGATGATGATGACAACTACAGAATCTTATAGTTGGAAGGAATCTTGAAAGTTGTATGGTCCAACTAGTGCCCTAATCTCTACGACAGACTTGACAAGTGGTCATTGGGCCGTTGCTTGAAGATGTCTGCCTCTGCTAGCTCAAACCTTTGCATCAAATGATACCTTAATTTTATGAAAGGGTAAACTTGTGTTGGTGGATTACGAGTGGCAGAGCTTGTAAGTTCCTACCGGAAAAGTAACAGTTCAATGACTTCAGTAGTCACACTTGGCTTGCATTTCAACAGTAGCTTCTGAAATGTTTGATTAGGCTTGATCTTTAAAAAAAGAAAAGTACAGGAGAGTTCTTGTGCAATAGTTGACCAAATTTGGGGAAAGGGATAGAGAGTAACTAGGGGTACTGACCTGGTTTTACCATTCTACATCACTCACAAGTACTGCCAGAAAGGAAGTAGAATTATGGAGCTTTTCAGACACTGACAGATAAGAAAGCAACCACTGAATTTGTCAGTTGAGAAAGGTTCACGCTAGTGTTGAATTTGGTGTTTTCATACAGGACTATTGCTCACTAAACTTGGTGGATTGCTTCAGGGGTAAGATGCTACTAATAATAGCTAGTGTTTGTATGGCACTTTTAAGGTTTGCCAAGTGCTTTACAAATATTTCGTTTGATCCTAACAGCAACCTTGGGAGGAGGTGCTAATATCTCCATTTTACAGTTAAGGAAACGGGCTAATGAATTAAGCAACTTGCCTAGAGTCACATAACACGTCTGAGGCCTGTTTGAACTCATGTCTTCCTTGCCTTCTTACCTAGGTTAGATTCATATTATGAAGGGGAATGCTGTCACATGTGCCTTGATGACAAATGTCCTCAAATTGAGTGGACAACAGTGTTGCCTGTTTTCATAATTTCGTAATTCATTTCTATGATAGAAAATGTCCCAACATATAATTCCACATAGGATAGGGAATAGTGACTGCACAAGCGCAAAACAATAGGATTTTAAACCTTGTTGTCAGTATGACTACTGTCTTTGGACGAGAGATGGGGTTATTTAATTATGACCAAGAGAAGTATGTTAATAATGAGGCATTTGTTAAGAAGCAAGCAGCATGGTGTAGTGGTGAGAGTCTCAGATCTGAAATTGAAAGAGACCTGGGTTCAAATCCTTTCTTTGATAGTTATTAACTCTGACTATGAGCAAGTCTGTTGACCTTTCTGAGCCTCTGTTCCCTCATGTAGAATGGAGAAAGAATTCTATAGCTCTTAAATCACAAGGATGTGAGGATCAAATACGATCAAAGGGTCATAGATCTCGAGCTGGAAGATAACTCTGGAGGCTGGCTACCTGTTTGGATAATTATGTAAAAGTTCTTAAATTTAATATTATATATAAGTA